CAAAGGGGACGATACTACTTAAAAGTTTCAGATAACAGCAATAACGAAAGCATGGGGTAATTTGAAAATAATTATTTCTTACAAACGTAGAAGTTATGAAAGTGCAGATTCTAATTATGTAATTCATTATGTAACTGTGATTAATTATGTAATTTAATTTAGATCATGTAGCAAAACCACACTAATTAACGCTCAACTTCTAAGGGTTAAAATATGAATTTTCAGTTGAACATATAATTGCAGAGGGTTGAGGTGATGCCACACTGCTTCAAAGTTGTACATAAAACCCCAAATCAGAGGCCTCAATTTTGGTGTAGAGATGTAGTTTGTGCACTTCATTGTGCTGCTAACACTTTTATCTTTGACATAATAAATACTTGTTTTGGTCACCAGTCTCCAGCCTGACATACAGATGCACACATTGTAATAAAACAGATCAACTTCAGGTGCTTTAGTTACTGTTGTAGTGTAAAAGTCCTGTCTTGGAAATGCAAACTTTCTGAACGTAATCCTAAAACTGTTCAACAAAATTAAACAGAGAGCGCTGCTGGAGGGGAAATAAACATTTAGTATTGATTGCCTTTATTTAATTTCATAGCCATCTGCAGTGTAGCCATGTGCTCTGTATGAATACCTTTTAGTAATCACTTTGTAGCAAACTTTATAAGTAAAAGCAAAGTGTGAAAAGTTCAGAACAGTTTAGGGCTACTAGCCAGTAAAAAATGAGTGCTGGTAGGCCAAGTGCCAAAAAACAGCAAAGGTGGACAACATTAACTAGAATTGTTTTTTTTTACACAGCACAACCTACAAATTTTCGGGGTCTTTACTTGCATATCAGGGGCCCCTAGAAATTGCATAGAGTACTTTAATCATAATTTATTCAGTGCAAAATGAGATACTGGCAAGTGAAATAATTTTAAATCTACTCAGTGTATCTAATGTTTGCTATTACGAGACTGTTGTAGGAAGATTATACGATTATTCCACCTCTTTCTATTGTTTTATTGTATTAATGGATAATTTTATTTGTTTCAACAAATAATACTTCAAACAAACAATGAAATAACAAACAATGAAGTTTCACTAGATATAATTACTTTATTACTAAAAATGTCCAGAAGTAGTTGAATAATCTTACAACAGTCTCCTAATGAAAGAACATTAGAAATATTGAGCAGATTAAAAATGATTTTGCTTGCTAGGATATTTTTTGCTGCGATGCACTTGTGTGTGCAGCTCTGGTTCACTTCAGATTACACCATTTGGAATGTCTTCAGTTTTAATATGCAACCCAGATGTATTAATTTTGTAGCACTGCTTGTTGACTATTGGTTGTGCTTATTTCTCTCCTTCCCTGTATATGTGTGCTTCACACCACCTTCTCTAAGCACTGTGTGCATGTCAGTTTTGGAGGCTGTATAGAGGCTGTGATTTTCCTAACAGGATTGCACAGTGCTCGTGGAGGAGTGTGCGGGCCGGCCTGCGGGAAAGCCAATTGGTTGGGACAGGGCAGGGCTGCCGGGCAGCGAGCCGGCCCGCTGGCAGAGAGAAAGAGGGTGGCAGTAATGCCGCATTTCAGCTGTTAGCAGCAAGTGGAGCCTGGGGGCCTGTAGCACGACAGGGGTTTGCTGATGTTCTTCATGCAGACACCTCAGCTCTAAATGAGTCATTGTGAGGCAGTTAGTGTGCCTGTCCCTGTTTGCTCACTGTGGCTCGGGTGCTGTTGAGATGAGCCATGTATAACAAGGATGGAAGCAACAGGGGTTCAAACAAGATGCAAATAAATCAGTGCTGGCTTTTGCATGTTACTATTAAAGTGGTAGTTCTACAAAACTTACATTTACATGCTTTTATCCCTTACACTCAAATATGGCTGATCAGCCAAGACATGTTTGGCATCCAAAGTTTGTGTCTGCATTGTTGCACTGGAGCTACGAGGCCATTATATCTAACAAGTAAGAGAAGCTTATATTCAACAGCTTAATCATCACACAGTCGCCTTGAACTGGATCAAGCTATTAACTTCTCATTATGTAAAATGTTTGAAATGTTTGTATTATACTAAAATTGAATATTATAAACATCCAGCAAATTTTGAATGAAAAAATTAAACACAACATAATTAATAAAACATGGCTTGAAAATCACTAAACACAACAGTATGAGCAAGAAGAAACGAGTGAAACAGGCTCTACGTATGCAGGCGGTGCTGTAGACTCTTCCTGCTTTGTTTATGACTCAATAAAAGCATAATCTAGCTTTTATTTTGCAGCATCTTAAAGAAGAGAAGATTATTTTCTGTACTGCATCCAGGGAATGCTGGCTTAGCCAGATGAACGAATGAATGGACAAACGACAGGCAGACAGATGAACTAGCTCCCTAGCTAAGTTATGCTCTCCAGGTTAGCTTTTACTTAGTTGTTAACTTTCACCTGGTAAGTTTCTCTGACTTACAGTAGCTAGCTAAAGAGACCATAGGGGAACACAGTGCAGGCAGGACAACCCATATCAGCCTTGTGATTGATGAAGATATTGTCTACAGTGCCCTCCACAAATATTGGCACCCCTGGTAAACATGAGCAAATCAAGCTATAAAAAACATTCTTTATTTTTTATGCTTTTGATCTTTTATTCTAAATATTGCCAAAAAATCTAACCTTTATTTGAAGTACAATGGATTAAAAACAATAATATTAATAAATTTAAATGAAAATATCATTTAATTTAGGAATGGCAATATTTATGGAGTGCACTGTACACATGCGTAACCCAAGATTAGGACTGCCCAGTTTACACTGAAAGAAGGGAATTTGGCAAAATACACTGACTATTTAGTACTACTACTACTACTACTACTACTACTACTAATAATAATAATAATAATATCTTAATTTATTTATAGAGCACTTTTTTACAGGTGGCAGCTCAAAGACAGGTGATAAAGCTTAACAGTAATAGAAGAAACTATATTCTATTATTCTAGTATTAATTTAACATCATGTAAGACAATGACACTGATCAGATTAAAGAGATAAATACCAAGAAACGTAGTATACAGTAGAACACAGTCAGCCAGTTCAGTTCTTTTAAAACGGGAGTGAAATAAGCTCTTTTTGTTTTTGTTAGTATCTGTGCTGCCACATGTTGTAGAGTTGTAGAGGATGTATTGTTTTCTTAGGAAGTCCAGTAATAAGACCCTTACAGTAATCAAGTCTGCTCGTAACAAATGCATGAACAGGTTTCTCTGCGTCACTCTGAGATAGAAAAGGCTGAACTTTAGTGATATTTCTCAAATAATAAAAAGCTACTTTAGTGACTGTGTTTACATGCGGGATAAAACAGACCCAGAGTCTAAGATCACACGCAGGTTTCATACTTCAGGTTTGGTTTACGAAGCTAAAGAACTGAGCTTCTCATAAAGCAGCTTTCACTGAGTTTTAGTACCAACAATCAGTATTTCAGTTTTTTCCTGATTTAGTTGTAGAACATTTCTCAAACACTGAGAAATATCTGACACACAGCTGGTTAGCCTGTCTACAGAGTCTTGATCATCAGAAGGAATGGAAATGTATTATTATGTGTCATCAGTGTAGCTATGAAAATTGATATCATGATATCTTGTGGGACTCCACAAGCAAATGTTAATTTTTTTGATGAATGATTTCCCAGTGAAACCAAGAACTGTCTATTCATTAAATATGATTTAAGCCATTCTAAAACTGTGCCTGAGAAGCCTATCCTGTACTCAAGATGGTGGAGTAGAATCTTTTGATCAATGATATTGATCAAAAGCTGCACTAAGGTTCAGTAAGACCAGAATAAAGGGGCTTTGTGCATCAGTGCTAAGACAGAGGTCATTCACAACATGAACCAGTGCTGCATCTAGTACTATGGTTAGAATGAAAACTTGATTGAAACGTCTCAAATAACTTGTTTGATATTAGATACAATTTTATTGTTTGAAAACAACCTTTTTGGACTTTACTTTAAAAAGGAGGTTAGAAATTAGTTTAAATAAATTATTTAGAAAACTTATGCTACTCTTTTTTCACCAGGGCAGCTTTAAGAGCATCTGGAAAAAAAGCCCCTGTTGACAGAGAACAGTTTACAATAGCTAAACATCGTCTTGAAAACAATCAAAAACCTTCCTAATGAGTGAAGTAGGAACAGGGACAAGATTTATCGGATATTGGAAAGTCAGTGCTTTGTACATGTGTATTTTGTGCCCACTAGTGCAAGTTTAACCAACATAGATAGAAAACATGGACTGACTGGAGCTTTAAATAATCTCAAATAGTCTTTCAACACTCTATGGCACAACTGACCAAAGCACAGATACAGTTCAGGCCTCATGATGCTGCTACTGCTGTTTCAGCCATGCATTATATGTGTGTGCATTTTTATAGATAGCAGTAGGTCAAACAGTGTCACGGACATTAACATTTTGGGTAAGCAGGAACATTGTGTATTTTTCACTGAATTGTCACTTTAAAGGGCCCATATCTTTATCATCACCAACTTTTGAAATATACTGTTCATTCCTCAGCCCATAAGTTATGGAAGCGAAACTGCAAAAACAGTCCATTTTGAACTCACTGTGTTTGTGATTTCACCAAAAACGAACACAATAACATACATCTGTTCAGACTACAGCAGTTTAGCTCCGCCCATTTACACTGAAGTTATAAGGAATGTTTCAGCATAACCTGCTTTCTGAATGAGGCACAATACAGTGAAACCAGTTAGAAGAGAGGTTGTTTGCATATAAATCTTGAAGACAAAGTAAGAAAAACTAATTGTAAACAAAAAGTAATTTTAAGGGATAAAGAGAGGCTGGAAAATGGTCATGTAAACCTACTTGGTTTGCATAACATCTCACAAACACCAGGGGAAAAAAAATAAAATGCAGGGAAAATGTAGGACCTGGCCCTCAGCAGGTCAAGCAAAGTGATTGAATAACTTCTCAGGATCCTTGTTGATCTTTGTTGTGTGTGTTTCAGATGAAAACCGAGGGGAAGGACGTGTACGACGAGAACATCCACTATCCTGTGCTGCTCACGCTCACCCACAGACCAAGTCCAGGCCTGCTGTGAGCCTGGCAGTGCCAGCCTGCCCTGCTGTGCCACCCACTGGCTCTGCCACTGTGACCTCCAGGGGTTTACTCAACCTAGCCTTTTTCACTCCTTTAACCACAACGTTTTTAGGGTATTGTAAGCGTGTGGGAGTGAGAGAGTGTGTGTACGTGTGTGAATGTGTGTTGCAGTGTATGTGACTGAGTTGGTGTGTGAACTCATGCCTGACCTTGTTACTGTGCGATAAAAATTGTGTGAAATTTTTAAACAGAGTCATGGCCACATGGAACAGAGCCATCCTCACAAACTCGCTGAATACTTCCAGATGTATTCAGCACAACGGAAATATCATTCAATGCTGAAGTGCATACCATCAGTTTTGAGTCATTGACTTATAACAGATGTTAACTTATAGTGGAATTCCACCGATTCTTCAAAATTTTTGCGTAATCCAATTGTTGAGATGTAAACAAAGTCATTCAGAGTGGTTTAATGTGAAATGGTGCATTTCAGAGAAACCGACTCTGATTTCTTTACAGTGGTGGTGAAAGGAACCAGGGTTGTGATGTTAACAATACAAATATATCTATTTTGTTTACTATCCAAAATGACCAGTGATTCACCACATATCTTCAGAGTTTTATGTGTAATGTTGATGATAGTAAAATAATGGTAAATCTGAGAAAATAAGCTTTCTTTGATGGCTATTTTGCCTTACAGTGCCCTGCATATCGCTGCTGTCGGAACAAAACCTTGATCTCAATTTTTTTCTTCATTTTTCAGTTTTGGGCATAATTTGAAAATGCCTGTTATCCTTGGCATTGTATATAGATTTCATGAGGAATGAACCAAAGGAAATGGCCTAGAATGACTTGGAAAGAAATACGGTTCCATTGACTTACATTAAAAGTAAAGTAGGTTTTTTCCTTCTCCTGTAAAGTTACCATTTTGGAGATACAAGGTTTTGTTCCGACAGCAGTGATACACATCTCTGGTACATTTTGATATGGATTAAAAGAAATAGTTTTAGGCCCAAAAGAGCAAAAAAAAATGGGAAGTTACTTAAAAAGTAATCCATTCCAAATGACTGATTACTTATCTCAAACTGTGATGGGATTACTTCACTTGTTACTTATGATATTTAGATTTTTTAATGTGTGCTTCTGTGTCTCTATCAAACCTACACAAGTCCAGTCTAATTGTAAAGTACAAGAAAGACCCTGGTCATTTCAGTACATTTTCAGTACATTTCAGTTTAGATGCTTCACAGTGAACATCATTTAAAAGGTGTTAAACAGCCAGTCATGCTTGAATAAAATTATGAATTTAGCTGATGCTGTTTGAAAACATATCAACTGGCCTCTGGAAAGGGCCCAAAAGCAACTGCCTCTAAATAAAATCTTTATCCATCAGTTTCGTATTAGTGTGTTTAGATGCTTCGACAGACTGCTTACTGAGTTTACAGCACTTCCTGCGCCCGCGCTGTGCTGCTTTTATTCACAATCAAAGCCACGCTGTGGCAGGCAGCACATGCACATGCAGTTTTTGTACAAGGACAGGCAGGGATAGTCTCTAATCTATATTAAGAATATTAAAATGAATTAGACATAATTACTAATGTTCTTTTGAAAAAATATGAGTAGCGCAACAAAAGTAATGAAATTCCCAAGTCAGTAACTAATGTGATTACAAGAACTAGCATGTGTTACATTGTTTTGTTACAGAAAAAAAATGCTTATCTTATTGTTACACATGACTTTCTACTGCTTTACCTCTGATTCTGACTATGATAAAACAGTGTCTCAGGCATGCTGCACTTTCATAACTATTTCATGTAATCATTTTATGTGAGGGAGCTTTTAAAGGCATTCAGTAGAAGAAAAAAATTTGAAAAATCTGTGGAATTCCCCTTTAATGCAATGGCTCATTGTATAATGGTTGGCCTAATTATATATCCCAGGCATAATTATTTTAATGTAACCGTGCATAGCCACATTCTATTCATCCTACAGCACTGACCAGTTGACGAAATATGAATATGGTCTAGTGATGCTGTTTCTATAGTGTGCTTCAAGCTTTACACGAAAGGCTTTGTGGAGGAGAGGAGAGTCTAGAGCACTTGCTTCACTGTGACCCACTCTCACTGCCCATATTCAAGTCCTGTGAGAATATGATGTTTGGTTAACATACTGTATTACAAAAGCTTACGGAAAGACCTTCAACACTGTATGGAGTGCTGTGTTAACAGACTGTATTCAGCACAAACCACACAATGCAGAATGAATTTAAGGTTCATCCACTGTGCGAGATAGAGGAGGCGGTATGTTTTGAGTATTTAGATGGAATGATCTATTATGGAGAGGAGGGAATGAAAGGTGCATTACAGTGTTAGTTATATCCAATCTGATACGTATTGACATATCAGCATATCACAAATCTTTACACTCACTGTATTAAGTTTCACAGGGTCTGCATGTGATTATATCAGTCAAGGTATCATATCAAGATCACTTTAAGAGAAGTATTATCATAAATCTCGGTCTGTGTAGTGTAAGTACTCACTGGTGCCCCACTTTCAGCTGTTTACGCTGAGCTGCTTCTGACTCAGATTGTTTGAGTTTCTATTCGTTTGAGTTTTTCTAAACATTTCGTTTTATTTGACGTTTGTTTGTTTGTTTTTTTTTGGCTTTGTATTTTTCTGAGCTGTGTGCTTCTGCACTGTGACTGTATTTCCTACCCGATACACAGATGAGTCCAAAGTGATTGTTTTACACTAATGGAGCAGGTGGTTGTAATTACTGTGATTAAATCATTATTTGAAACAGTTTTGTGTCCAGTGCCATTTTTCAACAAATATTATTTTAGCTTTGTCACCGATTTATTTGATACAGCATGCTGCGCATAAAGACAAAGTTGCAGTTTCTGGGTTTATTAACATTGTTTAATTGCTGTAATTAATTTCAGATTTAAAAAAAAAAATATATTGTCGTGTATAAATTTTTTTTTAAATCTGTGGCCTATTTCGATGTAAGAATTGAACGGTTTAGATGCTGATTTGCTAAAGCTTCCTTTTTTTCATTTAATTTGTGTGTGTGTGTGTGTGTTAAATAAGTTTTTGTCCAGAATTTTCATTGTTTATTTATTTAATTCTTTTTTTTTAACTTGCTTTTAAATTTATTTTTTGTTGTCCTTTGTGGAACTGAGATGAATTATGGCAATACATCCAGATTTTTATTGTTCTTTTTTACTTCTTATGTAAAATTAAGTTCTAGTTTATGGACCTGTGCAGTGTATTAGATTAAAACGTAAGTTTCTGAGTCAGATTTAACTCTGTAATATCATTAGATCTTGCAGTGAATATTGGCGCCTGAGGAGTTCTGATGGACATTATCTCAAAAGTCAAAAATCTTTTTTTTTATTTATTTATGTTTTTAAATTGATTCTTTGTGATATTTTGTGTGAGATAGATTATGCAAATACATCTAGCTTTTTATGTAAAATTCCAACTATTTTTAATTTCTAGATCTGTGCAGTGTAGTAGATTAAAGCATAAAGTTTTTTTTTAAGTTTCAGTTTCAGAATTAAGTCTCAGCTGAAGCCCTCCGCCTGTCTCGCCTCCTGTCTCTCTTCCTGAACTCTGGCTGCTCAGCTATAGGAGCATGCTAGGCGGCCTAATCCACAGGCCTTGGTTATAGAGGTTACTGCTGGCGGAGGGAGGGGGAACGAGTGCCCCCTCTCTGTCTTTTGAGATTTGAAAGAGGCCTGTTCTCCCCTCCCTCCATCCTGCTGGAGCCAGGGAGGGAGAAATGGAGAGAGAGAGAGAGAGAGAGAGCTCCCTGTTCCATACAAGGGCCCCATTAACTTGACCACTTGCCCTTTGCACACAAAGCCTGGGCCGGCCCCCTGTCCCACCCACCCAATTATGTGCGATTAGGCTCAGTGTGCTGTGTCAAGATGCAGAGAGACGCAGAGAGCAGGCGCTGTTAACCGACCAAGAGAGGGCAGCCATTTAAAAATGAACTACATGCGTGTTTCATGCAGGCTGCCATATTTTCCACTAGTGCATGGAGCTAGATAGAGCTTTGAATTACTTCCGTCTACACCACGCAAATTGCTTGAATGCACTCCAAGGTGGCGGCGTATGAATGCGTTAGAAGTAGAAATGGAAATTCTCAATTAGTTTGTTTGCTCATGCATTTTATGCCTAGTTTCCATTAAAATGTCCAGCAGTGGCAAATATGGAGTTATTGTGGGAGATTTGATTGCAGTTGGGGCAGCTGGCAGCACGCTTGGCTCAGGTTCCTCCCACTGATGCATGACTTTCTGCACAAACACCCACAGACACACAGCGAGCACCATGTTGTGTAGTCATGGGTTCAGGTCAGCAGTGCCAGGCCAAAGAGCCAGCACTGATAGTGAATGGGTTACGGTGGCTCAGGTGGCCATTTTATCTCTCCTTACCCCGTTCACAGACTCGCTTACTCGACACCTGGCTTCTGAAAGAATGAAAAATAAACATACAAATACGTATCACACAGTCGTATTCAAGGGTCCGGGCTCCCCTGGTCAACGACACAGTGATACTCTAAGTGGAAATCAGTTAATACGTCCTCTACCGAGACACACTTCTGCACATTTTTATACACAATTACTGTTTATTTACTGAATTTAACATGTTAGGGGAAAAAAAAACAAACAAAATATGGCTTGTGCAGAAGTTTTCACATTTCATATTTTGTTTTATTTTTCTCCAATATGTAAATGTTAAACAAAAAATAGAAACTGTGCACTGATATTTACGCATGTTCTCTGTAAAGGATGTGTTAACTTGTTTTCACTTAGAAATTCAACAAAACATAATTTGACCGGGGGTATTTAAACTTTTGCACACTGTAAAAGGCTGAAATCCTGGAACGTGGATCCTATAGGTAAGACTAGTGTTGTCAAATTCCACTGAACTGAAAATTTGTTCGTAAAATGAAATTGTATATATTTGAAACAAAAATTAGACCTAATTGAACTGGAAACAGGAAATGCAATACCATAAAAGTGGATACCTAAGAGTGAGATTTTGCCATACTGATAGATAGATAGATAGATAGATAGATAGATAGATAGATAGATAGATAGATAGACTTTGTCAAATCTGTTGAAGTGCTTTGTAGTCGATGCTAGTAGTGCATGTAACGGTAATGAATGAAATAGATTTTCCAATGATATTTGTTTATAATCCATTTCAACATATGTACTGTACCTGAACGACTCTGCACAGTGTTTATGATACTGCTGTGAATTAGTTAGAAGCTAATAGGCTGCATGAAGGTAAAATAAGCAGTGTTTTCTTGCATGTTACCAGCTCTCTGCTGGTCACATGGCTTTTCATAATTACCATAAAGTGTCACTTGCATTTTAGATCATTCATTCATTCATTCCTTCATTCATTTATGTATTTATTTATGAGTGACAGGAATAACTCCTTTAAGACTTTAGGTAGAACTCTGAATAAACACAGGTGGAGTAAAATTCCTTTTCGTACCTTCTGTGCCGTTCTGTGCAGGTACATTTTTCATTCATCAGGGTATGAACAAAGGTACAACAGTGGCTTTAAGGTCCAATTTTGTACCTTAAATAAGTTTTTCCAGGTGAAAAGTACGTATTTGTACCTTTTCATAAGCTAATGCT